ACTATTCTTGAGATTTTGAGCTAGCACATTCCATTCGAAAAGACCATTTGGAGTAATAAATGCAGTTTTAAATTTGTCTTCTTCTTTAATTGGAATTTGCCAAAATCCACTCTTATATCAAGTTTGGAAAAAATTTATAACCACCACCTAATAATTGTATTGCTTGCTTCATATTGGGTAATGGATGATTATCCTTAATAGTAATATTATTTAATTTTTTATAATCTACTACCATTCTCCATGTACCATGGTGCTGCATATGGAGAATCAGATAGAAGAATTCATCCAAAATGCAATAAATCTTGTATTATCTTATACATTTCTTCTTGTTCACTTGGAGTAGAATAATATGGTTTGGATACTGGTCGAGGATGATCAAGTGTTTTAATAGCATGAGATTTTACATTAGTAGCAATTGTTAATTTACTAGTACCAAGTAATTTTGCAAATTGATTAAGAAGAGTTTCAACTCTATCTTGTTGTTCAGGATTATCAGTATGTCGAGTTAAATTAGTAATGTTGTTATTTACGGATCGATGATCAATAATTGAGTTTCTTTTGAAGGATAATATAGGAATAGTTATTGTTTCCAAAACAATTCCCTTCGGTAATAAACATGAGTAAGTTGTTGGATTATGAAGCGAAATAGATGAAGTATGATGATGAATAGTTAATGAAGAATTTAACATAAATATAGGTAAGCGTTGTTGTAATTTAAAGCATGGACGAAATAATACTTTAGCTGATGATAATTCTACAGATACAGGAACTGTTACTGTTCGCTTTGGTGGAATCCGGACATTATTAATTAGACATGCAGAATATCTTATGTCATCTTTGTTAATATCAAATTTTAATGTGATACATTTATAATTATCACTAATGGAAACTATTTGTTCTTCAGTATTAATAAATAATTTATATTTATGAATGAATTCCATACCTAATATACAATTGGCACATAATTCTTTAACGAATAATGCCTTAATAGAAGTTGACATATCATCCATCATAATAAATAAATTCATTGTACCAAAAACAGAAAGAGATGTATAACCATCAGCTAAAATTACACGACTATGTGATTTATTAATAAATTGCTTACCATAGGATGGATCTAATGCTTTGATTGAAATAAAAGATCGATTTGCACCTGTATCCATCATTACCTTCATTTTTTTATTATTTACAATAACATTAAGATATAGTAAAGATGTATTTAGAGTCAATGGATTTCTATGTAAACTGTTGGAAGCAACACCACCCATCATTGCCTCCTTTACTCGAAATGGGTACGGGTACAATCCCGAGCATAATGACCAGGAGTACCACATTTATAACAACTATTTGATCGTTGTGAATATTGAGAATATCTTGAAGGTTCATAATGTTCAATTTTTTTATACGAAGTTTTCGTAGTACGTTGATAACTTGGACGTGATTGCGATTGCTCTTATGAAGGTATATTTTGTCGAATATTTGTGATTTTTGTTAAATAGTTTTTTGTTCTAATTATTTTTGAATAGTGGTAGTATTGATGTTAATTTCATTTTGTTGCATTTCATTATCTGTAGTAGTAAATGATAACGTATCTTCAATTTTTCTGGCGAGAGATAAAAATGCATCAGTTGTCTTTGGATCCTATAAAGCAACATGTAATTTTAATGATTCTCTTATACCAGCCATTAAATATTTTAATTTCAATGAATCAAGCATAGCTGGATCAACTTTTTTGCATAGTTTTATAATTTTATCATAATATTGCCTAACAGGTTGATTAACTGTTTGTTTGTACCATTTTAATTGTTCGAATGCTAATTCTTGTACTTTTGTTGATCCAAAAACTTTTATAACAGCTTCGGTAAATGATGACCATGTTTTAATCGATATGGATGCTTGTGTCCACCA